TCTCTCTCTCTCTCTCTCTCTCTCTCTCTCTCTCTCTCTCTCTCTCTCTCTCTCTCTCTCTCTCTCTCTCTCTCAGACACACACCCCTTCCCCCACCTGCGCACGCGACTAATGGGGCAGTTATTGTTTCTTCCTTTTTTCTTTTGCAAAGATGTCTCGTTTAGTTTTCTGTTTCTCTCATTTTTCTTGTTGTTTTTGCACTTCCGGTAGCCTTAGGTTCGGGGAATTGGTGAGGTTCAGCATACAGGTAGCTTGAGGGTCGGAAACAAAGTAGCTCTAGGTACTGTTGATTGTTATTCTGTGGCTGACCGTCACTCCCCATTGGCCCCGCACTTTCTTTTCCAATTGTTGCTGCACGGACAGCTGAAGGTGCACGGCTGTGATTGCACACCCCGTGGAGAAATGGAATTCGCAGAGAGAGCGGCAAGGCTGCATCCCTCCGACTCCGATTCCGAGCTCTGCGAGACCCATCGTCGAACTCTTGTCCATAGTCGGGATCCGATGTACACGCCCGCACCATTTCAACCAGGAAAGTGGTGCCGCATTGCCCGCGACCTGTGTAACCGCTCGCTCATTGAACGCGGGTCCAGCTTTTGGTTATTGAACGATTTGAACGCTCGTTCAATGAACGCGCATTTACACTCTGAACGGGTCTGCAGCAGGGCTGAAATGCCGCGGGAAGGGGGCGGTGCGGGTTGCTTGGCACAGAAAGGTGTTGTAGGGGGTGGAGAAGGGATGCGGGCACCCCTCCATCACTGTTGAGAGGGAAAAGAAGGAAAAGAAGGAAAGAAAGAAAGAAAAGAAAAGAAAAGAAAAAAACGGAACAAAAAACTTACCTCCGTGCGTGTGTTTGTGTCTGTGGCTGTGTGCGCGTATGTGTGTGTGTGTGTGTGTGTGTGTGTGGTGTCATATTCGCTATACGCTCGAAAAAAGCACGACTGTGTCAGACTGTTTAGTCGGACTTTCACCAACTCATGTGTGTGTGAGCGCGCGTGTACGCACACACACACACACACACACACAGAAACACACAAAACACATAAACACACGCAATCACACACACAGATACAGATACACACACCCACATCCACGTGATATTTTTTGTTTTGTTTTTCTTTCGAATTGCTCGCGCCCCCTGGTGGCTTCCCACGCGCGCATCCCAGCTGGGGGCGCGCGTTTAGTTTTGGCCGCTCCATTGCCACGTGGCACGTTTGAACGTGCTCACGTGTGCTTTGAACGCATGCGTTTGAGTGAGACTACGCGTTCTGCGCGTTCAGATGGTCACATAGCCTGCGGCGAGGTTCCAAGATACTTTTCGGATTAGGTAGTCATTGTTCCGAATTCTTTTTGTCTCTTCCCAAGCTGGTCGTTGCTCCATAATCGGAACCGCGTCGGAGATTCCAGTTCCGACCCGGAACTCCACACTCAATTTGGCACACCCTCATTGTCACTTTCTGGGGCCCTTTCCACATTTTTCTTCACTCTGCAATGAAACTCAGTGTAGGGTGTGAGGTTGGTATCGGAGCCGACACGTGTCAGTTTTGAGTAAGTAACGAGCTGGGGAGAGGACAAAGAAGACAATCTTCTCAGTCGCCTCGGAGAAGCCCACCTGTCACCCGTAGTCAGTCTGCAGAGTCCCGAGCTCGATCATCAATGGCGACCGAATCAGGCCCTTTGGTCCAAAAAGTCCTACCTTGTTTGGTCCAAAAGGTCCTACTACCTTCTTCCATTGAATATATTGCACCACCCTCATTGTACAGTCATAATGAGGGTGAGTTGTGCACCCGAGAAGACGGTAGTGCGAGTAAGAGCTAAGGCCACATGGGGCCAAGTCCCATTTGCCCAGATTCTTCATTTCTGACTGTCAATTTTGAAGATCAACGGCCAGAAATGGAGAACTCGGGGGCCATGGCCCACTAGCGGGAGTCTTATGTAGTTTTCAGATTGGATGAAAGGAGCCGGTGCGTACTCGAAAGCAAGTCTAAACCCTGGGTAGTGGGGCATGACCTCGGGTAAGTGGGACCTAGCCCTGATCAGACCCAGTATGTAGCGGACCTCGGGTTGGCCTGTAAGACCAGCCCCTTGGCCTGTTCTCACAGGCCTGTGTTACATTCGGGGTAGGCCAGTCCAGGCCGGTACCTCTGTCGGTACCAGCCAGTCCAGTCCAGTCCCGTCAGTCCGCTGGGGTATACCCCA